ATGGTAAACCGTGGCTAACGATGGTAAACCGTGGCTAACGATGGTAAACCGTGGCTAACGATGGTAAACCGTGACTAACGATGGTAAACCGTGGTTAACGATGGTAAACCGTGGTTAACGATGGTAAACCGTGGCTAACGAGGGTAAACCGTGGCTAACAATGGTAAACCGTGGCTAACGATGGTAAACCGTGGCTAACGATGGTAAACCGTGGCTAACGATGGTAAAGAGTGGCTAACGGTGGTAAAGCGTGGCTAACGGTGGTAAAGCGTGGCTAACGATGGTAAAGCGTGGCTAACGGTGGTTAGCTGCATTTTTAACTTCTGGTCATTATTCGTTTTTAAAGCGATAAAGTCGCAGATTTTAGTACCTCCGTTGGGATGAGCTCTCCAGTTCGTGCGGCCTTCTCAGCTTCTCCAATCAAAACCCTTAAAGCAGCGTCGGCTGCTTCCTGCTTTCCCTGTTTCTTGTTGGAGGCGCACACTGCAGGGAACCAGCGACCACCCAGCTTGGCCTGGTAGGTGAACCTAAACGAGAGAGGAAAATGAAATCAGGTCGGTTTCCACTCTCACTTTAAAAAAAACTATCAATTGAAACTTAAAAACATTTGAAACAGAGAAAGAGACACACAAATGTATCCAAGATGCTTAAGACACTTTACAACCCAATCAGTGCCCTCATGTAGCCACACACACACACGTTCATACAGCTCTACTACACATCTACAGCTAATCTGAGTAAATCCTTTGATAGAGACTAATCAGTGCTTTAGATCAGGGCTTACCAAACGTTTCCATGCCACGGCCCCCCTTACAAACCAACAAACAATGCTACAAATATATAAAGAAACATAACCTTTAGAATGTTTTTCTTCATGATAATTATTATCTTTGTTTAGCATAAGGATTTATATTAACTAACATGTTTTAAACACTATAATATACCCCTGAAAAAACAACTTTTCAACAAACTGTTGAAAAATATTAAACCTCTCTTAAATAACATTCAAATATTATAACTATTTTTAAATAATTATTCAGTTTTACGATAATTATATAAACATTTATTAGATTTAATCTGAACATTTTTGCCTTTTTTTTTCTTATTTTCTCTTCAGCTTTCTGACACCCCCCTAACGCCACCCAGGGGTCCGAGGCCCCCACTTTGAAAAATGCTACAGATCACATTCCTATATAACTGGGCAATAAAACAATAACAATATATATAAAAATAAACACATGATCAATTTCAATAGAAAATATGTCTAATATAGTGCTCAAGACTTCACTGGACTTCGATCCAGAACCGCACGGCATTCTGGGAGATGTAGGCAGAGGAAAGRCTTCAGCTGCTCGACCTCACGGCTCAGCTAAGTAAGGCTGGAGGCATCAACTAACTCAATCACTCTTTGGTAATCTAACATCCTGCTGAGTAACCTGCAGCAGTTTCATGTTTCACCATGGTGCCTCAGAACTGCTTCAAGGTAAAAAAAAAAAAGAACGTTAAAAAATCAATTTAAACAGGAAACGAGTGCAACAACTCAAGGAAACGTGGATAAAAGAGGAAAGGTCACCAGAATTAATCCGTCTTTTTCTCCTGATCCTTATTTCAAAATAAATAAATAAATAAAATAGGTAAAACAAGATCATGCTGGAGGTCATGTGGGGCGAAAAAGCTGGTCATATATCTTTTGGAGTTGTCCTAAGTTACTTCCTTATGGGAGGAAAATCAAAGCAAATGTTGAAAATGTTATTGGGACCAATTTCGCTTTAAACTTTGAAACTATGTTCTTAGGAAAACGGCCAAACAGTGTAAAGGGGTTTTATAAAACACGTTTAATACAATGCTAACTGCCAGTAATAAAAGCAATCACTCAGAAATGGATGACGGACAAAATAAAAGACTGGATGTTGTTGTTATTGTTATTATTTCTATCATGTTTTTTCTTTATCTTCCAGAAGAAGGCGCACCTGGACCAGTCCTGGACCAGTTCTTCTGTGTTTGTCTGTGTCTCTTTCCTGTCCTCCAACCAGCCGGTCGAGGCAGATGGTCTCCTGTCCTGAGCCTGGTTCTGCTGGAGGTTTCTTCCTGATTAGCAGGGAGTTTTTCCTCTCCACCATTTGCTCAGGATGGGAGACTGTGATGAAGTGATTCAACACAATCTGCTGCTTTCTTCTTTACATTGTTCTTTTTATGTACAGTGTCCTGAGACAACGTATGTTGTGACTTGGAGCTATATAAATAAACTAAACGTGAACTTGAACTGGATAAACATCATTCAAGATATCCACCGGATGGAGGAACTGACTTTTAAATTGAAACTGGAGCAGAAGTTGGACACCATGGTTGACTTACATGAACATTAGATCTGAAACTAATGAAAATGAAGTGAACCCATCGTTCTTTAGCTACTTTGTTCTGTTTAATTAATATTTGCTTATTGTTTTTACATATATGTATTTTTTCCACCTTTATATAAAAACAGGAGAAGAAGAAGAAAACAGGATACCGGATATTTAATAATCACATGAAGGGTTATAACAACTGGATTAACATAACTAAATGAAAGAAAATTTGTAAAATGTGGTATTACTTTCTGTAACTAGATGAAACTCATTTTCTTCATGTTATTTCTAAAAAAATAAAAATTTGAATTAAAAAAATAGGTAAAACAAAAACCTAACCAATAATTATCAATATCAACTGATATGAAACACTTTTATCCTGATTCATGTTCAAACAATAAATCCAGCAGACTGAACAGCTCAGTGCACATAAACATCTGCAACTCACACATACTTCGGCTCGTGCGGTGGCCCCGACTGGCCCACCAGGCGGATCTCAGCAGCGAAGCCTCGAGCCCTGGCGTACTCCAAAAGCCCGGACACTGCGTTGTTGTTCAGGTGATTGATGAGGTCCCCAACTCCTGCCTCGTGGGCCGCTCGCAGCTCGTTTTCCGTCAGAGGAGGCAAAGAGGGACAGGGGGTCTTGGAGGCATCGTCATCGAGGGAAGGAATGAGGGGCAGCTGAGGCTGGAAAAGACGGAGGAGTGATTAGATAAATGTGAACGAGAAGAGGAATTACTGAGCTGAAAACGTGCTTATGTTTAATCTGGTCATTTATTGATTCTTATTCCTCTTGTAGGAAACGTGCACGCTGTGTTTCCTCCTAAAATAAGACTTGTTCTCCATTAGCAGCAGTCTGAGTCTTGTAGTGACAACACTGATGGTTTGGCTGCAAAGCTCACTGCTTTATACAACAAATAAATACAGGTAAAAGTGCTAAACAAATTCAGATCTTCAACATTTTGTTTTCCACTCGTTACCTTGTTGAGCTGCAGTTTCCCGTCAGCCATCAGCTCTTTGACAGCCTCCTCTGCAGCCAGCTGGCGGGCCGCCTTTTTGCTCGGAGCGGAGGCCTCCGAAAACAAAACCTCTCCGACCTTCACCCTGAACATGAACCTGAGCGCAGGACAGAGGAGGTACAAAAGGTTAGAGGAGACAAGGAGATGATTATTTTGGTCTGTAATCGAGGTTGTACACTTGATGACTTTGACAGAACTACCGTATTTATTCATGTATAATACGACCTCATGTATAATATGATCTCATGTATAATACGATCTCATGTATAATACGACCTCATGTATAAT